ATATAAATATTCTATTTTAGCTAAATAGCACATGGTTTTCCTACTTCTCTTAACAAAAACAACAAAGAATACTGTGGCTCCTTAAAGACTAACATATTTGTTATAGCATAAATTTAAACTAACTACTGTTCCCTTTATCTATCTTAACCCGTGTATTCGGTATATATACAAAGGAAGTGAGAGGATGGAGAGTCTGTAAACCATTAAGCAGGAGAGATATGAAATAAAGAAAGTTGCCAACGGAATATGTGTTATGAAGTGTGAAAGTCTCTTTCTCTAGCAGTCTCTCTAGCTGAGGCCAGATGGCCATCTGTCAGGGGTCCTTTGATACTGAGTTCCTGTATGGCAAATATTTGAGCTGGATGGCCCTTGTGGTCTCTTCCAACTCTAGGACTCTAAAACTATGATAACTACTACATTAACAGTGGTATTCACTAAACATGCATGGCAATACACAAATTGTTCCAATGCGGAGGTAATTGAGACATGTAGTACGATTTTTAATATTTGATATTTCTTTTTTATTGTTCCATGTGAATTTACATTTATATATTATTTGTGATTTATCAAGTACATTTTCTTATTTAAAAACATGTTAACAAAAATGTGTGTGTGTGTGTTGTGTTTCGGGACCCCTGAATGGATTAATAGGCTGTCTACAAAAGCCTATGCTATCACTTATTTTTCTCTATTAGTCTTTAAAATGTTACAAGATAGCTTTGTATACTGGAAAATGTTGTGTGTGTTATTACTGGGCTGCAGTGCCTTACCCTATTCAGTACTGATGAAGCCAGTCTCTACACACAACATAAAAAGGACACAAATTTGATATCAGAAACAGCAAAATTCAAAGATGAGGAGACATTTAAAACCTATCTAAATTTAAAAACTTCTTTTCCCAATCTCTCATGTGGCTTCAATAAACTTTTTAAAAACCCACATTTTGTTGTACTAAGCAGTTCAGCATTTCAAGTATGTCTATGTTAAAGTCCACTAACTGCTCCATTACTAATCACTGTTATAGTACTTATCATTGTATTTTCTGGATTTTAGGTTTTTCTGATATCATTGATTACCATTCCTGTAATTATCCATAAGTGATACCTGTAACTCAGAAAATACCTCACGCATATGACCAATTAGAGAAGAGCTTTCTAAACACATATAATTTCATGATACAGTAATCCAGTTTTACTAAAAATCAGAAGTTTAAACAACCCTTATAAAAGATATGAACACAGACATAAATTGTAATAGCGAAATGTATGGGATCACATTAAAACTTTTCATTTGTATTACTTTAAAATATATATAATTTATGGATTATTTCATACAGATTTAAGAGCTTTCTCCTTATGTTCATGTGACACACCTACACACTGATACCGACACACAAACGTGCCATGACACACAATTTGTAAAGCTCTAAACAGGTGTGCAATCCATTACAAACACCTCACAACTCTTCGGTATTAAACAGTGAAACAGGAATATTAGCACTAGCAACAATTAAAACAGAAGGAAATACACAAAGTCCACATACAGAAGAGTGGGTGCATAAAGATGAATCAATCAAGCAGAATAATAAAGCTGTTGACTTAGATGAAGGGTTAGAAGGCATGATCATCAAGTTTGCAGATGACACCAAATTGGGAGGGATAGCTAATACTCCAAAAGACAGGAGCAGAATTCAAAATCATCTTGACAGATTGAAAACATGGGCCAAAACTAACAAAATGAAGTTCAGCGGGGAGAAACGCAAGATTCTCCACTTAGACAGAAAAAAATGAAATGCAAAGATACAGAATGGGAGATGCCTGGCTTGACAGAAATATATATTAAAGAGATCTTGGGAGTCCTCATGGACAACAGGTTAAATATGAGCCCACAATGTTATGCGGCAACTAAAAAAAGCCAATAGGGTTTTGGCCTGCATAAATAGGAGAATAGTGTCTAGATCCAGTGACGTCACATGACCCCTCTATTCTGCCTTGGTCAGACCACACCTGGAATACTGTGTCCAATTCTGGGCACTGCAATTTAAGGGAGACGTTGGCAGGATAGAATGTGCCCTGAGGAGGGTGACAAAATGATCAAGGGTCTGGAGAACAAGCCCTATGAGGCAGCGTTGTCCGTAGACACCTCCAAGGTCATGTGGCCGGCATGACTGCATGGAGCGCCGTTACCTTCCCGCCGGAGCGGTACCTATTGATCTACTCACATTTGCATGTTTTCGAACTGCTAGGTTGGCAGAAGCTAGGGCTGACAGCGGAAGCTCACGCCGCTCCCCGGAATCGAACCTGCGACCTTTCGAATCACAAGCTCAGCAGCTCAGTGCTTTAACCCACTGCGCTACTGGGGGCTCCATGGAGACATGATAGCCATGTATAAATATGTGTGGGGAAGCTGTAGGGAGCAGACTTGTTGTCTCTTGTCCTGGAGACTAGGATGCAGAACAATGGCGTCAAACAGCAGGAAAAGAGATTCCACCTGAACATTAGGAAGAACTTCCTGACTGTGAGAGCTGTTCAGCCGTGGAACTCTCTGCCCCGAAGTGAGGCGGAGACTCCTACTTTGGAGAATTTTAAACAGAGGTTGGATGGCGATCTGTTGGGGGTGCTTTGAATGCGATTCTCCTGCTTCTTGGCAGGGGGTTGGACTGAATGGGCCACAAGGTTTCTTCTAACTCTATAATTCTACGCTTCATATCAATTATTTTCTCCACAGATCAAAAGGCTCCTATACAGCATCATCTGTTGCACCGTGCTAAGATAACTGAAGCAATTAAACTGGGCTGTTACTCAAAGACTCTGCACCACAAATCTAAATGAAAGGCACAACAGAGCTCTTCCCCTGGAGCGCTAGGAATGTTTGTTTAAATAGAACTTGCCACTTGACCAGGGACCACTTGACCTGGGACCACTGTCCAACATTAGTACCAAAAAGGTTACAAATCAGTTTCTGGTCAACTTTAGATTTGGTTTGGTTATTTGGGGTGCTGATTCAGAAAATTGCATTGGATAGACCTCATCAGCTCTAGTTTCTGATACAGAACATATGCCATCCAGTAGTTGATCTTGTTGTAACCGTGTAGTAAGGGTGAGACCGCAGACCATATTTTAGTTCTTGGGGACCACTGGTGGTCCATGAACCACAGGTTGGGAACCACTACATGAATTCCGTAACAGAGCTCTTCCTCTGGCGCGCTAGGAACACTTTTTACCAGAGACCACTTTGACCAGAGACCACTCTCCAACATTAGTACCAAAAGGGTTTTGAATCAGTTCTTGGTCAACTTCAAATTCAGTCTCGTTATTTAGGGTGCTTATTGAGAAAACTGCACTGGATAGAGAACATCAGTGCTAGTTTCTGATACAGAACACATGCCACCCGGTAGTCGCTCTTGTAACAGTGTAGTATCCGCAAGGCCACGGCCCATATTTTAGTTCTTGAGGACCACTGATGGTCCACGAGCCACAGGTTGGGAAGCACTGCACTACATGAATTCCGCAACAGAGCTCTTACTCTGGCGTGCTAGGAACACTTTTTAAATAGAACTCAATATTTGACCAGAGACCGCTTTGACCAGAGACCACTCTCCAACATTAGTACCAAAAGGGTTTTGAATCAGTTCTTGGTCAACTTCAGATTCAGTCTCATTATTTAGGGTGCTGATTCAGAAAACTCCACTGGATAGACCACATCAGCGCTACTTTCTGATACAGAACACATGCCATCCATTAGTCGCTCTTGTAACAGTGTAGTATCTGCGAGGCCGCGGCCCGTATTTTAGTTCTTGGGGACCACTGGTCGTCCACGAACCACAGGTTGGGAATCCCTGCGCTACACGAAGTCCACATACAGAAGAGCGGGCGCATAAAACTGAATCAATCAAGCGGAATCATAAAGCTGTGCCATACCAATTATTTTCAACACAGATCAAAAAGGCATCATCTGTTGCACCGCGCTAAGATAACTGAAGTGATGAAACTGGGTTGTAATTCACAGATTCTGCACCACAAGTCTCAATGAAAGGAGCAACAGAGCTCTTCCCTTGGAGCGTTGGGAACGCTTTTTAAATAGAACTCGGCGCTTTCTCTCTTTTTTCTTTCTTTCTATCCACAGCAGACGTACGCCAAGGCACGGGCACGCGCATGCGCGCACACACAAACACACACACACAGAGAAGAACAGCAACCACCGCCTCTTCCTTTTCGAAAGGGCTGACAATGCCGCCCTCCAGAGAACTCCCTACTCTCGTGCATTATTATTATCGTTATGACCGAACGAGATTATCTTACACACACAGAGAGAGATAAAACCCAGGAAGCCTCGACGTGGGGCGGGGAGTACGAGAGAAAACACAAGGAGGGGAGGAAAGGGGAGGGGAAGAAGGGAAGGGGGGGGCAGTGACAGCGGCAGCCATGGCTCCAGCTGCAGCAGGAGCAACAAACAGAGAATGCCAAGGGACGGAGGGGGGCTTTGCGGGGCAGCAAACGGGATGACAAGCTGGCATTTGGGGGGAAATGCTGAAAAGGGAAGAGGAGGAGGAGGAAGAAGGCGTGTCAGGGAGACCTCAGGAAAGGGTTGGCAGAGGGATTGCGGCGTGCCTCCATTACGAGGAAAGGCAGCGCAAGAAAGGAGGGAGGGAAAGGAAAAGGGGGAGTGTTCTCTCTCTCTCTCTCTCGCATCTCACATAGCTCCAGACACAAAGCGGGGCGCCCATATTTACCACAAGCGGAGACACCCCATATTTCTTGGTTCTGGATGAAGAAAAACACGCATTCACACACACACACGACACTGATGGCTCTTCTTGAGGGACTTTCGCCTCATGAAGAGGTTAGAAAGGGAGCCCACGAGAGAGAGGGGGAATGACAGCCACGTAGACGCGGCACAAGGCGAGGAGGAAGCCCTGACAGGCGCCCGCCCGCCCAACCGTCGCTGTGGCCTCTCCCTCCCCTCAGACAGACCCCGCGAAGGCTTCGTCTCCTCCTTACCTTCTTCTCCCCTCGTCGGAAAAAAGGGAGCCGTGCTCCTACTCCTCGCTAGCCTTGAAGAAGCGACTTGCGTTCGGGCGACACTCCTTCCTTCCTTGCCTTGCCTCTTTCCCTTCCCCTCAGCTCCGTCGCCCTCCTCCTTCCTCCTCCTCTTCGTCCGTCAGAATGTCGGTTTGTGAGTAAGCCTCTCCGATTGGCTGGAGCGCCGCTCACGTGACCGCAAGACGGGCGCGAGGGAGGGGGGGAAACGGGGCCGGCACGCGCCGTCGCCTCGGACGTTAAAGGGAAGGGTGAGCGCGAGGAAGAGGGAGGGGGAGAGGAGGGAGGAGGAGGAGGCGGCGCGCGGGCGCTTTCGTCACAACTCCCCCCCCTCCCTTCCCTCGTCGCTTTCTGTAAACTTCTTTAATACACAAATACTTTGGGAGGAAAGGGACTGGGAGGGAGGAGGGGGGGAGAGAACGCGGCCTTCCCTTGGCACAGGGTGTGAGGGAGGAGGCAGCGCGTGCCACTGCGCAGGCGCGTCCATTCCCCTCAAGTTTCTTCTTGGGTGGCGCGGCTGGAAGGTTCTGGAAAATACGGTGGTTCGCTGCGGTTTTCCTCCTCCTTCCTTTCTTTCTTTCCTTCCCCCCCCTCTCTCTCTCTCGAGTACACGGGCTTGGCTTCTTCGGGTGACGCGGATAGACAAGCGAGGCCTCTCCGTCCCGGAGCCGCCATCCGTTGAGGCGGTGGCTCCCTTCCCGAGGGAAGGGCTTTCCGGCGACGGTGGCGCAGTGAGTTTTAAATAAACACCCGAGTGCGCATGCGCTACTGGCCTTAGGCGCTCCGCTGCATTTTAATAGAAGGGAGGAATGGCTTCAGACGAGACGCGGGTCTCTCTCTCTCTCTCCCCCTTCGAAGACTGCATTGTATCCTTGCTTTGGAAGGGATAGGGACTGTTTAAAATCCATACCAGGTTGGACATTTTAGAATGAAGAGGCAGCTTGAATACATGTCGTTAAGACGACTGACATATTGGACTGTGAACATGAGCTTAGTTCCAGAATTAAGTTGACACTAGATGAGGATTTCAGTGCAGTAATAGTAAAGGTAAAGGTTTTCCCCTGACATAGAATCATAGAGTTGGAAGAGACCTCATGGCCCATCCAGTCCAACCCCCTGCCAAGAAGAAGCAGGAAAATGGCATTCAAAGCACCCCTGACAAATCGGAGCCCCTGGTGGCGCAGTGCGTTAAACCCCTGTGCCGGCAGGACTGAAGACCGACAGATCGCAGGTTCAAATCCGGGGAGAGGCGGATGAGCTTCCTCTATAAGCTCCAGCTCCTCATGCAGGTACATGAGAGAAGCCTCCCACAAGGATGATAAAACATCAAATCATCCGGGTGTCCCCTGGGCAACGTCCTTTCAAACGGCCAATTCTCTCACACCATAAGCAAATTGGAATTTCTCAGGTCGCTCCTGACACGGAAAAAAAAATCCGACAGATGGCCATCCAGCCTCTGTTTAAAAGCTTCCAAAGAAGGAGCCTCCACCACAGTCTGGGACAGAGTGTTCCACTGCTGAACAGCTTTCACAATCAGTTGTGTCCGACTCTGGGGGTGTGGTGCTCATCTCCATTTCTAAGCCGAAGAGCCGGCGTTGTCAGTAGACACCTCCAAGGTCATGTGGCCGGCGTGACTGCATGGAGCTCCCTTACCTTCCCGCAGGAGTAGTACCTATTGATCTACTCACACTTGCATGTTTTCGAACTGCTTGGTTGGCAGCGGAAGCTCACGCCACTCCCTGGATTCGGACCTGCGACCTTTCGGTCAACAAGCTCAGCAGCTCAGCGCTTTAACTCACTGCGCCACTGGGGGCTCCATAGTGCAGTAATAGTTGCGGATATATTCCTCGCCACCCAAGCCGGGGTTTAACATGCAGGAAGCCCCCTCTTATTTGAAAGTAGAATTAGTTGAAAACGAACCTGGGTTTTTATAGCTTGCAAACGCATTTTGGGCACTGAAAGAAGCAAATACCACACCATATATATATATATTACTAGTCTAGAGCTGCTCAAGAAATGTACATGCATATTTGCCTCATGTCCATGTCAGATGGTGTGATGCTTGCAAAGAGCTCTAGAAAATGTAGTGTATTTTATAATAATAACACTTTATTTATGTTCTGCCCTATCTCAGGGCGGCTCACAGTACATATATGCAGCAAGCATTCAATGCCATTTGGACAGACAGGACAGGACAGGCAGAAAGGAGGTATGTTGTGTGGACGTGCAGCTTTTGGCGTCTTTGGAAGTTGTGCTCAAATCCAGCCACAGGAGGTGCTGTCACTCCATCTTCTATAATGAGTCATCAGGACTTCCTCCTTCCTTTTGGTTGCCAGCATTTTCTGGTCTTTTTCTTTTTTGGTGTAAAATACCTCTCCTGCTTTTTAGCGGTACGCAATTTCTCTACTTACAGCTCTAAGCTGTTTTTGAACTGCTTAGGTAAACAGTGAGTTCATAATTTTGGTTCATAATTTTAATTCATAATTTGAGCATGATAATTTAGTTAAAACCTAACCAAGTAGTAATACAAACAGTTTGAAGGTGGTTGTCTAAACTGCTGAGCTGCTGAATTTGCTGACTGAAAGGTCGGTGGTTCAAATCCGGGGAACAAGGTGAGCTGCTCTAAGCCTCAGCTTCTTCCAACCTAGCAGTTCGAAAACATGCAGATGTGAGTAGATCAATAGGTACTGTTCCGGCAGGAAGGTAAGGGCGCTCCGTGCAGTAATGCCAGCCACGTGACTTTGGAGGCATCTACGGACAACGCCGGATCTTCGGCTTAGAAATGGAGATGAGTACCACCACCACCCCAGTTGGACACGATTAGACTTAATGTCAAGAGGAGACCTTTATCGTTACTCTATGCCTAATGTCCATGTCAGACGGTGTGATGCTCGCAAAGAACTATAGAAAAGTTTGTGTATTTTAGTACTTCATTTGAGTATGATAATTTAATTAGTTTCAAGGTAAATCTTAAACCAAGTAATAGTATTGACAGTTTGAAGATGGTGGTCTTTACATTCAGATGGTTATTCCATATTTTAATGGGAGAGAATAATAAAATGGCATTATAAGAAAGACAGAAAGGAAAAGCAAGCTGTGATTGTAGTAAAGTGGTGGGGTTAAAAAAACCATGCAGTTAGTAAATTTGCCAAGCTGAGAACATGGATGAGAGAAGTCAGCACTCAACATTATCAAAGGCATTTTCCAGCTTCATTTTGGTAGGGCTTTACTGCAGACAGCTAACAAATTTAAATGGCAGTTTTTAATTCTCACCCCCCTCAAGATAGTTGAATTCAATTTAATGATTAAATACAATACATTTTTTTCTATTTTGATCATCACAAGCAGACCTGTAGGAGCCCCTGGTGGTGCAATGGGTTAAACCCTTGTGCCAGCAGAACTGATGACCGACAGGTCAGTGATTCGAATACAGGGAGCAAGGTGAGCTCCTGTCTGTCAGCTCCAGCTTCTAGTGCGGGGACATGAGAGAAGCCTCCCACAGGATGTAAAACATCCAGTTGTCCCCTGGGCAATGGCAGACAGCCAATTCTCTCACACCAGAAGTGGCTTGAAGTTTCTCATGTCACTCCTGACATGACAAAAAAGCAGATCTGTGTTTGATGAATCTGGATAATAATAATAATGTGAAGTAATGATTTCACACTTAAAATGAAATCCAGACTTAGTTGATAATTCACTTATTTATTATAGGGCAAATTTATGGATATCAAAGACTGCCTAATATAGTATTTGTTATCTGAATCACGGGTAATGTCATTACCATCCCTTTACTTAAGATGTAGAGGAAATGATGAGTGAGAACAAAAACTGATGTCATGTGAATCACAGCTTGAACAATACCGGTTGCTGTGGTAGTGGTTTAGGGCTTAGCTTTCTTGGAAGATAACACACGGAGATTTGGAGTATCCATGAATCCAATTGTGAACATCTTCAAAGTTGTTTGAAACTTCTGAAGACCTATCAATCAATATTCTGAAAGGTTCTACTGAATTTTACACTGCAAGTCATCCTTCAATTGTCTCCCAGGTCTAGACTTGTGTTAGTCTAGAAGTTCCATTATTTCCACTTAGTATCACCAGGATGGTAGGAATAAAATATTTGGAGTTGTTTTAAATATTATCCCAAAGTCATGGATGCAGAATGTGTGTGGTTGTTGAACTACAACTTTTCCAGCAACCTTCAGTATTAGCTATGCTAGCTAGAATTGATACAGATTACATTCAAACCTCTGTGGGAGCTGTGTTGTCCTCATTCCTGATATAGACGATATACAGGTGAAGCTGTTATTATAGAAACCTAGCTGCTGGAATTTTTATGTCAATTATTTAACAGTTTAATCAGGAGTATACATACCCTACTTTGTACCACATCCACATTTATCATACTAAAAGCAGTTAGGCAGTTAAATGATTATGTGTTTTAGCAATGATGTAACCTGCCTCGAGCCGTGAGGAGAGGCGGGCAAGAAATACAATTATTATAATAACAATTCAGCTTGTATAGTATGCTAATATGTACTAACTATGGCAAAACCCAGGAACTGGAAGCAGTGCTATCTTTAGTAACTTTAGTTAGCCATTTTTCTTGACGGTTATCACCAATACATATCAGCATTCCTGAGATTAGGGGCACGGTTCCCTCGGTGAAGTGGAAAAGCCACCTTTTTAAAAAAATATATGCTATAGGTTCTCCACTGCAGCTTTTTGGTTAACTTTTACCGGAGGCTGACCATGGAATCATGCTGGAGGACCTAAATGCCTAGAGAACTGTTGTCAAAGAATGTTTATGTTCTCTAGCATGACACTATGGTCAGCTTCCAGCTGGAGGACCTACCGATTCCTAGAGAGGATATTTTAATCAAATCCACAAAAGGTAAACCTGCAAATGTGAAGTGGTGACATTTCAACAATGATATTAGTTCCTGTTGTGATAGAAACATATATTTCTAAGCATCAGGATGATCCCCTGGTTAGGAGTCTTCTAACCATATGTGGAACACTATGTTCTTGCTGCAAGATGTAGAAATTAAAGAGTACCTTGTGCAGTAGCAATAAATGAGTGCCTTTAATGCATCCTCTGTGGTAGATCCTTAAGAGCAACATTTGTCCACCCAGTAAAACAACCTCCAAGTATTCCTTGCGTAAGAAAACCCCAAGGAATACACAAGGTTGCCATAAGTTGCCATAAGGTGACAGGAGACTTGAAAGCACATCTACACACTTTATTTTAAGAACGCTTCGTTAAATATAGTTCTGTTAAAAGAGACTGTTTTGAAATGGTATTTATTTATTGTGTCAGAAGCAAATTGAGAATACATTATATTTCTTATTTGATCATATTTTAAAATTAAGCTGTTTTAAATATGCTAGCATTGTGGCTTGAATACCCTAAAGGCACAAGATCCTGTCTGATATTGGAAACTAAGCAGGATAAGTTTTTGGGTGGGATTCCATCCTAGCAGGCTATGTTTTGGAGGATGGAGCTGGCAAAACCACTACTTGAGTATTTCTTGCCTAAGAAAACCCTATGAAAAGTTATGGGTTTTCATAACTTTTCAGCATAAGCCTACAGGCAACTTGAAGGCACATGCAATACACAGCATACCAACTGGAAGTCACTTCACCACCCCTCATCTAAAAGAGTGAATTTGCGTTACATTTGTCATTTGTTCTGGAAGACCTTTTACTTCCAGAACAAGTATTCAAAATATTTAAATAAAACAAGTTAACAAGTTTAAACAAAATCTGTCTTCATATAAAACAGTACAGATGAGGAATTTTCTGTTGGAATGGTTTTCTCTTCAAAAAAAGGAACATCAAGACCTGTGATAATTGTCAGTTTCAAAGTATCACTTCTATGCAAAATTTTAGTTCTTTATCTCACAAAGCAATTTTCAAGCAGCTCTTTTTCATTGAAAACATGGAACATCCTGATGTTCTTATAAAGCATAAAACATAGTTAGCTTAGTCAAAGGTGGAGAATTCGGGGAGATGTCATCCAGCAACTTCTGGATGACATGCCACCTTGAAAAGTTTGCCTAATTATTTTGTTTGAAAATATGTGGGCTTTGGGATATTTGAGACTTCAATTTGAATCAGAATGAGAACCATGCTTTTAAAAAAATATGTTACTTATTTATATACAGGCAAGATAATATATATTAAAAAGTTGGATATTGTGCATTATGTGGCAAGAAACAGCCAGTATGGATAGTGTTGGGCCAAGATGGATGCAGCCTAAATTGCATCATAAATTTGGTAGTGAAGTAAAATTTGGAATGGAAATTTTCAACTTTGGAGAAAAGATTGGATATAAATATAACCAAAGATACAACACACACACACACCATACATCTCCCACACAATCCACAAATAGTTACAAAGGTTTACTGAAAGTGGTCCTGAGAAATAAACTTCTGAGATCAGCGTTCTAAGAAGTTGGCTGACAGTGCTTGTAATTTGCAGTATCAGTGTGATGGAACATTAGAAACTAATGCATGCTAAAACTTTTAAATGCAAGTTTACTCAGGGTGTTAATATGTTGTTGTGGTTATTTTTACTTACAAATGCACTTGGCAGATGTATTTTTGTACCAGAATTCTGGATATTGAAAGTTTGTACTTTAAATCCTATAGTTGTTACCATTAACATCGAGATAGTGATTCTGAGCCACTGCTAAAACATGATTAAGTACAGTTGCTCCAAGGAATATAAACATCTGCCTAACCTCACAAGAGCAGCTTTAAAAAGCTTTAAAAATAACTTTTCAGAGGATTGGAAGAAGCAATCATGAAAGATAATCTCCTAAGTTCTATCTGTAGATTACAATTCTACTTCAAGAGTACACTATGAATTGAGTTTTTAAATTTGGTAAGTTGAGATGTATTTACAGCAGTGATACGGGATTTTGGGGGGGGGGTGGGGGGTCATCTGATTTAGCACATTTAATTGAAACATTTGATTAAAAATATCAAAAACTTTGTGGAAATTATTGTATTGCAATATTTGTAGAATTATAAAGAGAACACCATATGCTTTTCTAATATAGAACACAACATGATTATACCTGAAAGCACAGAGTTTTCTTTAGGATGTACTTGTTGATGTAAAGAGCTGTAACCTGATACGTTAAAAGGGTAATTTTTCTTATCTCAATTTAATTCTGTTACTCTGCACTACCTATCAGTTTGATTTCAAGTTGAGAAAAATCAGTACACAACTAGTTTGATATAGTGAATTTGTATATCCAGGTTGTTTATCACATTTTGTCTTCACCTCTTGCACACAGATTGAGAAACAATGGATTTTGTGAAAGAAGAACAAATTTAGCAGTGCACTCACTTGTTAGTCTGTTTCTTTGAGCACTTAGATTTGCCAGTACTTGTCTCCTTAGAAGAATAAGTTGGGCTTCATATACTATACCGATCCAACCTGATTGACTGCAAAACAACAGTCCATTCAACTATGGAGAAACACACGTGGTATATAATTCTTTCCACAGAAAATATAACAAGGTTTTCAAAATGTTTTATTTGGAGCATGTTTACAGTGTCCCAGTTTTCTATTCCCTGTTGTCAGCCTGATGAGGCACTAATAATATTAATATTATTGGTATGAAGTAAAAAGTATAACCTTTTGCGAACAATGATAGAAATGGCACAGCAGTACTGTTCCATTATCTGGGCGGAGGCCAAAAGGGGGCACTAGACAAAGTATAGTCCATTTAAAGTGGGATGGGTTGAGGAAGTAAAATTATTTCCCTGTTTTCTGGATATTAAACCCACCCATGTCAAGGAAACAATTTTCGTTTATCTTCGTTTATGACATGAGAGGGGGCGAGGGGAGGGAATAACCAGCAAAAATTGGGTAAATTGTTTTCCTTTTTCAACTCCCCCCCCCCCCAGTGGATTAACCTTCTCTGTCTAGCTTTGGCCTCCGCCTGGATAATTTAACAGTACGAGCATAGCATTTCTAATTCTGTTTGATGAACATGTGGTTGATTGAGAACACTTGGGTAATGACTGTGAATGGCATGTAGTAATGACTGAGTCACCATGTGAGCTGAGGTGTATTGCAAAAGGGTTGCATCAGCTGGTGTCCCGTACTGATGACCTATCAGCAGATGGCTATATGAGGATGAAAGAATCCATCTTTCTCTCTCCTGTGTGACTTGGTGTGAGTATCTGCCTGTGTTCCGTATGTGACTATTCGATTACTCTGATGGTTTGCAAATACAAGGAAAGTGGATCTGCGTATCCTGTTTGTACATTTGTATATATTGCAACTGTGAAACCTTTGGATGAAAACCTGAATCCATGAGTTTACTGAACAGTCTGTAGATGTGGACAGTTGGACTCTGCTGATAGGCAAGGCTAATAGACAGTCCTTGCTGTGAAAGGACTCTGCAATATTTTTGCTTGCTTATGGGACACTTGCTATACAGCTTGTAGGGGTTCGAGGATGTCGTGATTTGGAAACTATAAATCACTTCACAACCAGTATCCTGTGACACAATGATTCATGGAAGATTAAAAAGTGACAAAAGACAACATTGACTCTCCATTTCTGATGCAAGACAGTGTGTGCATCAGATTAAGGCATCAAATTAGTGTATACAAAGTAACAGTCCCTGAAAAGCACATTTTGAGCCAATCCATGCTATTAAAGCCATGACATGAAGAAATGTGTTTGCAATAATCAGAAACATTCTTTAGCAGAGGCCAAATGTTAGTATTTTATTGGATTGGATGCATATAGTTTCAGGCTTGGAGCAGTAGCTTTCTATCTCTCTAGAGCAGGGGTCCTCAAACTTTTTATACAGAGGGCCAGGTCACAGTCCCTCAAACTGATGGAGGGCCGGATTATAATTTGAAAAAAAATAATGAATTCCTATGCACACTGCAATAAATTATTTGTAGTGCAAGAAAGACCTAAAAACAATACAATAGTTAAAATGAAAAACAATTTTAACAAATATAAACTTATTAGTATTTCAATGGTAAGTGTGGGCCTGCTTTTGGTTGATGAGATAGGATTGTTGTTGCTGTTGTGTGCTTTCAAGTCGTTTCAGACTTAAGTTGACCCTGAGCGAGGGCCGAGTAAATTACCTTGGAGGGCTGTATCTGGCCCCTGGGCCTTAGTTTGAGGACCCCTGCTCTAGAGTTTTAAGTACTGTGTTCCTCCACTTAGAATGTGTTATAAAACCTTTACATTTTATAGTAAGGTCAGCTATGCTAAAACTGGTGACTGATGTTTACTCAACAGATTATGCTGTGTTTGCATTCGTAACCAGCTAGATTCTGCTATTATGGATAAGCAAATAGTTTTGACTGATGGAACTGTCCAATTCTGCAGTAACAATACTCACATGTAATGTGTGTATTCAAAAATACTCTCTTGCATAAAAATAGGATTAATCTTGTATTTCTTCACTCAAACTGTTATTCAACAGCTGTACCACTATACATTTAGGAATCTTATGTAAACACTCCCTATTTTCTTTATTCTGTATAGTTGTGCCACAGATTATTTCCAACATTCATATATTTCTTCCTTGGTGTACCAGTAACAATTCTACCATGGAAAATGAAATTCTGAAGATGCTTATTTCCGTTTGGCAAAAACTCTTTCAAGCAACGGGATTCCATCTAAAAGCAATTTTGTTTTTTTATGATCTGGGCTTCATTGACCCCTCCTTCCCACTTCATTGACTTTATGCATAATTTTCATAGGCATGTCTCTCTCTGTGTGTGCGTATAAATATCTAGCTATTTGGTCAGCATGCCATTTTTTCTTTATTTGTTTATATAACTAATAACTGGAACTTAGAAATTATGATTACAGTATATTTTATATTTGTTAAAAATAGAAACTTTATAATAAAGCTGAGGTCTTAATTTCAGGTGCTGTGTGGCTGGTATTTGAATTGTTAATGATGATTATAAAGAAACATTCCAGATTTGTTGAAACAAAACACTTGTATCCTTATTTTACATTTTATTTTGAAGTAATATTTTACAGAAGGAAAAGCAATTCTAAAGGTCTGACCGTACTCCAAATCCAGGTGGCTTAGGTGGTTCTGTCAGAGAAGTAAGACCGCCAACTGGCTCACAGGAGAAGCGTCCATTCCTGAAAAGGAATTGAGCAATTCATTGTTAAAGTATTACTCACTGCACCACTCATTTTTACAAAGATTAGTCTGACTCATCTTTGGAATTAGACTTTTATTCAGTTCTCTTTTCAGTCAGTAATGAATAGGAACTTGAAAATACGAATACAACTTCATGTCTAAATCATCAGTCTATAAAGTGAATGCATACTGCTATCCTATGGGCAGGTTCCCATTGAAATCACAGATTATACTCTCTGGATCAATAACACTATATTCAGGCAATATAGGTATTCCAAAAAGTAGCTACAGTATTATATATTTATCCTGCCTATTGCTGACATAATTCTTATAACAATCTTAAGATGTAGAACCGGCAGATGTCAAGGTGTTACTGAATTGAAGACTGTCACCTTGGCCATTGCCTATGATGCCTGAGGCTAATGAAATCTGAAGTCCCAAAATCATAAAAACACAGATTCCCCAACCACAGGTAGGTTACAATGAGTTAATAACTATATTCAAATCATCTAGCAAGCATTGTGATTGATGATTTAAACTTGGTTTTCTCTGCTCTGCTTACAGTACCGATACATCCATTTTTCACTGATGTATACTCACAAAGGGATCTTATTGCATCTTTCACACGTACCTGATGAAGCAGACTTAAGTTTACAAAAAACGATGCTACTGATTTATTTCTCAAGTCTTAAAAGTGTTACAAGATTCCTTTCCATACGGACATAAATATACAGGCATACAGGCCCTAGTTCCAAGGTGGTGTAAGGCTGATGAAAGGGATGGATATTGTGTGGAAAAGTGACATTTTGTTCCTCAAAATGTATCAGTGTACTGTATAAAAATGCAGAATACAATTTGGATTTTTAATGGTGTGCATTACTTTGGAGTAACCCTCATACCATCTTATTAAGTGCTGACTTGTTTTTTTTTAAAACTCAAGTCTTTAGCAATAAGTTAATCTGATTCAAAATTCAATATAGCAATTCAAGACATTTCTGTAGATTTAGGGTATCTTTTCTGCCTATAACAGCCAAGCTGCCTTGATCTTACAAGCTGTGCATAATTTTTAAACAAGGCAAGAATATTATAAACCTGCCTTATAGAGGCAACAATATGCACAAATTATACTTGGAGAAATTAAAAGCATTTCCATGTATGAAAAATGTGTCCGTCTAACACTTAGCACAATTTAAAGATGCTGTTCACATTAACTGAATGATTAAAGAACAAAATAACATATTAACATACATCACTCTGTCTCTTGCCACATAGGAAACAAGACTTTAATCTTTTGTAGATAATCTTTAACTAAAAAAGAATTAAAGCATTATGGGGACAAAATCTCAAATTGCCTATAATTTAGAGAAATGTGCCTGAAACTGGCTGGGACAATATTCAGTAATAATATTCATTTGTTTTGGCGATAGTGTTTTGGTTGTATGGCCCCAGGGTAGTTATTTTTGTATTGCAAAATAAAATACCTGGGTCCAGGTTTTGGAACTTTCCCAGCTTTCAATTCATCAAGTATGTCTTCAATGTCTTTTGTTGTTAAATCTTCCTGAAAAATGAAATGAAAAAACGTAGCCTCCTTTTACATAAAACAGTAGTCTTTTACAGAAATGTATGAAACAACATTTCAAGAACTAGAATCCACAAAATATATCATAATGAATGCATTAGTTTTTAAAGTGATACCAGAACCCTTGTTTTTACTAAAATGGACTATATTATAACCATTAAATACAATTGTCTATTGCCTTTTATTTTTGCTACAAATAAGAAATCTGAAGATGATCTAGGTTTGAATCTTCCTATTAAATTAGGATTTATTTAAGCATTGCTTTTGCCATTCAGTACTTGTTTTAATAGATCTATTGGAGCTGGAGCTAAGAATTGGATTCAAACTTTATAATTATATTGGTATCTGGGAAAATTGGAGGCTACAGACAATGCCATTGCCTGTTTTTGGTCAAAAATCTTGGAAGAAGGCAAAGCAAACTCTCTCTAAAAATATTGTTAAGAAAACCATGGCTCTCTACATTGCCATATAAAATCCAGATTATCTGCTCTGAACTGGATTATATACGGCAGTGTAGAAGGGGCCCTTGTCATAGGCTGACCTGATATATGCCTGTGTGTTCAAGTCACTAGTCACTTTATGGTGACCCCATGAATTTCATAAGGTTTTCTTAAACAAGTAATACTCAGAGGTGGTTTTGTCAATTCTGTCCTCTGAATTGCTTACAGCACCTAGTATCAATTGGCGGTCTCCCATCCAAGGACTAAACAAGGCTAGCCTTGCTTAGCTTCCAAGATCGGGATATTTAGGTGGCATTGGTTCACTTTAGAGTCACCAAGTCTGAAATGTCTTGAAGACACACAACAACATACTCTATTCCTGCATTTCATATTTTAAGGTTCATAAACTATTTTGTGTTGAAAAAAAAATATGAGATATTTTGGCATGAAACCTCTCCTTTAATCTCAAATGTAGGCCCCTTCTACACTGCCATAAAGTCCAGATTATCAAAGCAGATAAATCTATATTATCTGCTTTGAACTGGATAACATTGCTATATAATCTAGTTCAAATCAAATAATCTGGGTTTTATATGGCAGTGTAAAAGGGGTCATAAGGAAAAAAACAGTTATCAGCTATTACCTATATCCAACAGACAATTAGGCCCATCAATAGACAATATAGCCTGTCCTGACAGTTATGTCAGGTTTCAATTATTCAGTAAACACTACCGCCTTGATCTTTCTTCTTTGGGGTTACACTTTGTCCCTGTCACAGAGGCCTTAACTAAGAACAACTAATGAACTGGTTTCATACAATAGATACAAGGCCCTTCCATACAGTAATGCAACCCAGAATATCAAAGCAGATAATCCACAATATCTGCTTTGAACTGGATAATCCGAGTCCACACTACCATGTAATCCAGTTCAATTTGGATTTTATATAGTTGTGTGGAAAGGGACCACAGAGTGTACTGCACATCTAACACTTTTCAGTTATTACTTGAACTCTTAGGAACACAATGTAAAGTTAGTGTAATACATTACAATTATCACAAAATAATACCCCATTAAAACAGAAACGACACTTAATGCGGAGATCCCTATTTTTATGTTAGCATTTGTATTTTAAATCTTTACAGCTTCCAGCTTTCATGCTGCAGAAATATACTGCAGATTAGAGTTATGCAAGCCAACTTGTACTTACATAGTAGTTATCATTTATTTGTACCATTGGTGCATTCACACAAGCTCCCAAGCATTCTACTTCAGTTAGAGTGAATAGCTGATCAGATGTTGTTTCTCCAACTTTTATACCTAAGAGAGATCCATATAAATTATAATTAAGAAAAAACTCAGTAGAAACAAAACCTACAATATAATTCTCCATAGACTTTTGCCACAATTCAGACAAGGACAAAATATACACGATAGCCAGTTGTCTGTTTTAGCCTAACTGGGATGGAAGTTGTATGTAGAGATGTGCACATGTTACTGCAGCCTGAGCTAGAAAGTGGAATTTATATTCTAGTTTGCCAGATTATCAATTAACAGTCCTCACTGTTACAGGAGGTTCTAAATGTATGAAAAACCTTTAGAAACTATAGCTAGCAGAAAATACAGCAGTCATATGTTTTAGAGACCATATACAGTGTTTTCTGTTTGTTTCTCAATGTAGTTCAGGAAATTTTACCTATACAGTCCTTGTGGCCAGAGTACCTCAAAACACACACAACATACACCCTCTGATGTGCTGCCTGCAAGCTGAAGTCTTCATCGGAAATCTATTTTATGTCCTGTAATACTTCTTTTTAAAATGTCCTAATACAAACAGAGGGTAGGTTGAGGGTACAAGTGATCAGTCCTGTTTTGTAGCATTATCCTTACTGTGAAACTCTCCTAAGAGAAGCTGGACTGGCTGCATCCTTCCCAAGTTCTTGTCAACCAGTTTCACTGCTAACTTTTCACGGATGTAAATATGCTGATTTATTTTCAACTGTACTGTTTTGACTTCTATTGTGCTATGATTCTATTTCTCATTTAGGTTTTATATTGATTTGAGTGTCCTTAAAGGCTGAAAACAAAACAAGTCACAAACCTGTTGTATAATTACACTCGTCTAAATATGCTGGCATAGGCAATTGTGTTGGCATGGAAGCAAGAGGAAAAAGCCACTAGTGTAACAGCAGTAAGGGAATGCCAACAAAGTAGTTGTATGAAGAGGAAGGCTGCCAGCTTAAATCAGACTATTTTCTCAGTGCCTGTCATGTGAGTCTTAGAGTTTAAGTGTTCTGGAAATCTTTGCTATCTTGTGGCACAGGTGTCTGTCCTAGTAAGCCTTCCCTGAGCTCAAAGTCCTCCTCAAGGTTTTTACTAGAGAAAGGAAAGGAGGAGGTAAGTTAGAATCAGAATTTCCCTTACAATGACTACTTGGGTCTACCTTTCTTTGCTGCTCTGTTCTAACCCTAGTAAAAGACAAATGCTTAATGGGCTATTAAAATAACAGTGCATTCAGAGTATTCTGAACATAAATATATTTAGCAGTAATAATCAGCAGTAATGAACTTAGATTTTTTAAGAAAAACATTGAAATGGTATTCATCAGGAAAGAGGAAACTGAAAAATAAAGAAGAAAAGGGTAGACACTGAATAATTTATAAAGCTACTTCGGATTTTTCTACATTTCTAATACGTGTATGTACCTTAAAATAGAGTACAACCTGCTATTCAGAACAATTACATTTCTCAAAAGAAAGAGGAGAAATGTCATTTTTACTCAATACTAGTTTTAGCAATTGTACTCCCCATGGTAGAGAACATTGGTTCCAACTACTCTGTGTGGAACAGCAGCAGATCCACCTGCCTCTGGAATGTCCAGAGCATTATCTACAATGGGTTTTCTTTCATATTTCTGCTTAACAACCTAAATTGCTTTGAATGAGGTTTCCGTGCTGTTCCCGTCTTTTTTCATGTAGTATTGCAATTATTCCCAGTGACTAATAGAGATTTCACCACTCTCATGATTCACATTCTAGTTTAGAGTGCAATTTGATTTAATTATAACAATGCAATATAGTATAAAATTTCTGTACAGTACAGGGATAATAAGCTTTGCATCATACCGAGCTTCTGCTGAATGGCTTCCAATATGCTATCTGAGTCTCGTAACATGCAAGGTGTAGTAGTGCAGATTTGAATATGGTGTTTTCCAACAGGTTTACGATTATACATTGTATAAAAGGTTGCTACTTCATAAACTCTCATGGGAGGCATCTTTAGAATTTCAGCAACCTAAAATTGTGGGGAAAGACCACTTAATTCCTTTGGTACAAAAAAAATCAATTCCAACAGTTACTAAGGGGTTTTTAAATATCATTTATATGTCCAGCTATACTCCGAATTGTCTTATTCTACAGTATTTTTCACAGAAAACAAAATTTATCAACACCAACAGAAATTGTGAAGCAAAAACAGAGTTACATCTAAAATAAAAATAATTCTATTTCTTACCCGCCTCTCCTCACAGCTCAAGGCGGGCTAAACACATAATCATTTCAAAACACTCTGTAAAATACACATATTAAAACATATTTCCATCTGGAACCTGCCTGAGAGATATGACCAGAATCACTGCAGCACAGTGTCTCCAATTCCCAGCCCCTCCAGGCTTTCTGGAAGAATACCATGGTCGATGGTATCAAAAGCCCCCGAGAGGTCTACAAGCACCAACAGGGACACACACAACCCATTGGTGTTGAGACAGATCATCCACTAAGGCAACCATGTTGTTGTTGTTCATTCGCTTCCGACTATTTGTGACCTCATGGACCATCCCACACCAGAGCTCCCTGTCGGCCGTCACCTCCCCCAACTCCTTCAGAGTCAAGCCCGTCACTTCAAGGATACCATCCATAAGGCAACCATAGCAGATTCCGTATCCTGCTCTGAAGCTGATTTTAAATGTGTCAAGGAAGTGTGTGTCATCCAAGACTGCCTGGAGTTGGAGGGCAGCTGCCTTCTCAGTCACATTGTCCAAAAAGGTTAGATACTGGTCTGTAATTATTAATGTCCAGGGGATCCAGGGAGGGCTTCTTCAGCAGCGAGCAAACAACTGCTGAATGACAAGTTTTATGTTAATTGTTGTTGTTCATTCGTTCAGTCGTCTCCGACTCTTCGTGACCTCATGGACCAGCCCACGCCAGAGCTCCCTGTCGGCCGTTACCACCCCCAGCTCCCTCAAGGTCAGTCCAGTCACTTCAAGGATGCCATCCATCCATCTTGCCCTTGGTCGGCCCCTCTTCCTTTTGCCTTCCACTTTCCCCAGCATAATTGTCTTCTCTATGCTTTCCTGTCTCCTCATGATGTGGCCAAAGTACTTCAACTTTGTCTCTAGTATCTTTCCCTCCAGTGAGCAGTCGGGCTTTATTTCCTGGAGGATGGACTGGTTGGATCTTCTCGCAGTCCAAGGCACTCTCAGAACTTTCCTCCAACACCACAGTTCAAAAGCATCGATCTTCCTTCGCTCAGCCTTC